CCAGGGGCAGATAGACAACCATAGAGGGGCAAATAGCGGCCCAGGGGCAGATAGACAACCATAGAGGGGCAAATAGCGGCCCAGGGGCAGATAGATAACCATAGAGGGGCAAATAGCGGCCCAGGGGCAGATAGATAACCATAGAGGGGCAAATAGCGGCCCAGGGGCAGATAATGGTGGAGGGGGCAAATGTATCAGGGTAAAAGGGGGTAAATGAATAACGGTGGGGGGTAAATAAGGGCGGAGGGGTAAAAGAATAAGGACAAAAAGGGTAAATAATGGCTGAGGAGTAAAGGAATAAAGACAGAGGGGTAAATGAGGGCAGAGGGGCAAAGGAATAAGGGGAAAAGGGGGTAAAGGAATAAGGATCRAGGGGTAAATAACAGCAGAGAGGTAAATAACGGCAGGGGGTAAACGGATAAGGATAAAGGGGTAAATAAGGGCAGAGGGGTAAATGAATAAGGGCAAGGGAGTAAATAAGGGCAGAGGAGTAAATAAGGATAAACGAGTAGAAGAATAACGGCACAGAGGTAAATGAATAAGGGCGACAGAGTAAGTGGATAAGGGTAGTGGGGTAAATAGGGGCAAAAGGGGGTAAATAAACAAGGGCAGAGGGGTAAATGGGTAAGGCGAGTGAATAAGGGCAGCGGGGCGAGTGAACGGCTAAGCGAGCGCGGCCGGTCCCGCAGGCGCCGCCACCGTGTGCTTCGGGAACATGTTCATCGAGCTGCCCAAGGCCAGGACGCGGGAGATGGTGCAGAAGGGTGAGCGGAGCGCGCGGCGCCCCGGCCGCGGCCGCGCGGCCGCCCCGCAGGCTCCCCAGCCTCCGCCTCCCCGCAGATCAGCAGCAGCTGGATGAGGAGATAAACAGCCTGCGGAAGGAGCTGCGCGTCAAGGTCAACCGGCTCTTCGAGGCCCAAGGTAGAGCCCGCAGCCGGCTTTGCTCCGGAGCGCGCGTGTCGCCGGTCCCCTCGTGTCCCTGCTCCTGCTGCCCCACACGGATCTGCTGAACAGGCTTCCAGGCTGCTCCCGATGACTCCATAGCCGCTTCCAGGGCTGGCCCTGCCTTCCCTCAACCCTTGCAGCGTTTAGCCTGGGCTGCTTAAYGTTTTCTGCCACAAAACCCTGCTTGTCCGCTTGCTTTCTCCCAGGTAAGGCCGAGCTGAAAGGATTTAACCTGAACCCTATGACGCCCGAGGAAATGAAGCTCATCAACCGCATCCTGGAAGGCTGAGGCTGCGGCCCCGCAGCCCGTGCCACTTAGCGGGGCAAACGGGGGGAATTCACACTGCTCCGGCCGTGCCCAAGGGCAGCGTTCCCAGCCGTTATTCCCGCAGCCTTGCTCGAGTGCGATCTCCGTGGTAGGCAGCAGGAAGCAGTGCCAGCGCTTCCCGCTTCTTTGCGATTCCCTGGGATTATAAAACACCCCCCTTCTTGCTGGATAAAGCCTGAGTGCTGGAAGGGCGCTGAGGAACACGCTGGAACACAGGCRCATTCAGGCCCTTTGACAAACTGCCGTTGTTGGGTGGAAGTGGGATTATTAAAATCTGAGAAACGGGGCATTCCTAACAGCGTGCGTGTTTTGTTGGCGTCATGTTGTTGCCTTTTTTCTTGTTTTTTAGTGCAGTATCTTCTGTAATTTAGCTTCTCTTTCATTTTAGTGTCAGGAACAGGAGTAGGAGGGAAGGAGCTGTGAATCCACAGTGTGTCCAAAACATAAAGGAAGAGTTGTGTAAGCCTGGGGTATTAGAACAAAGTAAAATGATACATGGAAAACACTCAAGAATCTTTTAGGAGAGGTGTAGGGAGGGATACAAGGCAGGAACATCCTTTCAGCCTCTGGGGGAAAACCGCTGTCAAGCTGGAAGGCAAGAGAACAGGGAAAASATGGCCTGCAAGAGCGGATGAAGGAATAAAATGCTAAAAATAAACACATGCATAAATTAAAATAGCCTTGCCTGTCTTGTAGTAAAAGGACAAGTGCTTTAACCAGTTGCATCCTCAAAGATTTTAAAATCTATCTTCTCTGTTACCCTAGTTAGTCTGAACTTGCTCCCTCAACACAAGACTATAATAAGACAAGAATGCTTAAACTTAAGCAGTAATGGACAAAGTTGAGTTTGACTTCTGCGTGCAGGAAGGTTTCTGGGTACTGAGAAGCTTTTTTTTTTTTTTCTGACCTTCTTAAATTCTGTTAAAAAACAGTATCTTTATGGAAGCTTAAACATGGAAGTGGTTATTTGTTCCACCGGCTCTCGCGCATTCGCCTGTTCTGGGCTTTGCGTGCCCAACACCAAGTTGTCCCTGAGCCTCTGCTTGCTCAGTCCTGCTTTAAGTTCTGCTCAGATGCTGCAAAACAGAAGACCTTGTTTTCCYAACTCCCTATCCAGCCTTCCCGGTCCATGTCAGATGTGAATCCTCTAGAGAACCCTGCRTTGCCACAACTAGTTCCACATATACGTGAAACTTAAGCAGAGTTTAGACAGAAGAATCCTGTTTCAGACTCCTTAAAATGGAAGATTTCTTTTWAAAAAAATACAAAATATTAAGTAAACTGTAAGTCTTAAAATTGTGTGGCTTTGCAAGAGGCTAAAACGTCCCCTGTGGGCTGCTCGCAGTTCAGCCTGTGAGCTGGGCTGTTGTGCTCGGAGCCTTCCCCAGCGTYAGGTCTCCGCTGACCCCATAGCTCGTTTCCATCCCCAAATCATAGCTCTTACATCACAGGACAGCGCAGCCCGGGTTTCGTGATGGGAAGGTTGTTTTTCCAGCACCACAGCAACAGGTTTAAGGCCCTGACATGTTTCCATAGCCGTAGCAGCAGGAGAGGCTTGCCCTTCCTAAAAGCTTTGCTTTGCCTGGCAGAACGCATTCAGCTCCTGCATTTCCTCACACAGCACAAAACTAAGTGTCTCCAGAGGGCAGCCAAGAAGCTGGCATCACCAGTGTCAGCCGTTACTCAAGTTCTTCCAGSCCCTTGGTTCTAAGATGCAGAGGTAGCAAACGTGACCCGAGAGCCCCTGGGTCCTGCTCCCATCCCCAGGGCCCGTCCACAGCCCCGCTCCAAGCGGGATTCCCTTCCTGCCGCTTCCCTTCCTCCAGTCCTCAATCCGCAAGGAGCAGAGGCTCCAGCCCACAGCACCCCTCTTGTGTAGGGTCGGCTCCAAGCGTGGCTCCCCACAACCAGGACACTTCACCAGATCATACTGAGACTCCACTCACTCCTGGTCTTGGTTTATATGGGAGAGGATTCATTCATCAGGGTTTCTCCAGCCTGGGAGCTGCAACAGTTAAAATACAAACCAACATGACCAACAGTCTGGTGCTGGGGCAGCAAGAGTCCAGAAAGTGGGAAGTGCTGCACTGCACTATGAGGAACAGAGAGATTCTTCCGTGGGATTTCTCACATCCTCAGTCTCGGGTCAGCATTCCGCTTTCTGCTGGGCACGAAGACTCCTGAACAGCTGCTTCAGTTGTTTCTTCCTGTCATTGTGGCAGCCTGTAACGAAAGCATTCGCTGCAGTTATACGTGACCAAACTCTTCATTCCCGGGAAGGAATAAGGAAGTTGCCCACTTCCAGGTAAAGCTGTGCTCTGCTTCGCTGGTTTGGAACTACAGCCAAGGATGACTACAGGCACGCTGAGCTGTGCATAACAAAAGAAATAGATGATACGTGCTTAGCTTCATAAGTATGATTCAGGAAACCCAGAACTACTTCACACCAGTAAAACACACTGTCAAAAAAGTGCCTAATACAGTTACCACAATCACTGTGGAGAAGTTTTGAAGCAAAGCTGGTACATGAAGTCTGCAGCRGCTTAAAGCAGAGGCCTATAAACAAAGCCCTCACCACTACTTTTATATAAGTAGTTTCCAAGAGCGCTCCTGCAGTCCAGGAACTCGCATCTGCTCTTGGAAAGCACTTGCTCCTTTCGGACACTCGCACAAGAGCCCCGCGCCCCGCGTGCTCTCCGGGCTGGCCGGGGGGCCGGGCAGGGCCCCGGCAGCTCCGCCGGAGCGGGTACCTAGGTGGGAGTTGGCCACGAAGCTCTCGCTCGGCGGCGTGCCCAGGTTTCCTTCCCGGCTCACGGGTCCGTCGCTCCAGATGAGGTCAAAGCCTCCGACGCGCTTCTCCTTCCCGCTCAGCCTACAAGAGCGAGCGTGCAGCAAAGGAGCTGGGCAGTGACAATCACCTGTCTGCACCCCAATAAACCTCCCGTCAACCAGAGACAGAGCCGAGCAGCCCAAAGCCCTGGAYACCTTCACATAAGCACAGCAGCAAAGTCGCTCAGAGATCAACCCAAGGCACCTTCCTCGAGCCGGGGCTCCAGGCACAAGGACAGGAGCAAACTCTGAAAGCGTGTCCTTGTGTAAGGCTCCGCTCCAAAACTAACCCCCTGCCCCTTAGGGCACTCTGTTGCTTTGTTTTCCCCCCTCTGAAGCACCACTACGTTTGCTTGCTTTGCTGGCTTTGCAAAACCTTCACAGTTACACAGCCTAGAGCATTATGATCAATTGTGCAGAAGAGACAGAACCCGACCATTCACTTCACGCATTTTAATAAAACCTCTTTGAGGATAAAGATGTTGCCCACCTGCCTTCCATGTCCACAATATGCAGTGTGTCTTTCAGGAGATGACATTTGAGTTCATAGTCTTCCTGGCTACTGGCAATGAGGGAAGGTGAAGCGTTTACTTCAATAAGCCAGCTAAAGAGAAAAGATGAGCAATACGTCATGGAGAGATGGGCATTTTGGCCAATGATTCCCCCAACAGAAAGCCCATCTACAAAAACATCATTGCACTGCTAGAGGCAGGAACGAGCATGGGAAGCAAGAGGAAATCTAACCCCAAATCTCATTCTTGTAGGCTGAGCCAAAGAACATTCTGAGCTTATTGCAATGTTTCTATTCCTGTTCTCAGTGGTAATAAAGAAAAAAAAAACCCTCCAGCATCCAAAAAGGTATACAAGCTAGAAACGAAGTCCAGATGAAACAGTAAATGCTGGGGATAATTCACAGAATTAACATTAACCCTTTTCTCCTGGAGGATCACAGATCTTTCCTGGGAACATCTGTGGGAACAATGCAAAAAATAGTCAACTCCCTCTCCTGCGAGAGCTCTGAAAAAGCTGCAAGCTGCAATAACAGCATCCAAGAATTGCAGTGACATCAATGACTTTCATCCCAATTCCCTACAGTTAGATTTGTTTCCTGAACAACAAAAGTTACTGCACTTCTGTATGTGCTGTCTAAGTGGCACTTAGGTTTGAGGCTATGAACAGAGCAGACYGTATGAATTAGGGCCATCCAAGAGCACAGCTGAGCTCACTGGAAACAGAGCCGTCCCCAGGGGCACTGCATGAAATATTGGGCTTTCGCTGACAGGACACAGGGCTTTAACAGATATCACAGCTAACTGCGTTTGTAGAAGGAAAAAAGAGTAAAAATTGAGAGACGATGCTCCATAAAAGATCATTGCCAGCACAAAACATGTCTTGCAGTAACTTCCTTACTAAGAGCACTTTTTGTGATTAAGACTGGAAAAATAACAATCATATTTGCTTGTCAGTTCTGCAGTACTAGCTGCAGTTTCTGATTTTCTTGGATAATGACAAGTCGGTCGCACTTTCAGATTCCTGCTGTGGCAAAACTTGGGTTGAAAACGGGGCAGGTGAAAGTGAGACCTTCAGCTGAACTTTAATTGCTAACATATTTCTCATTTAGACAGTGAAATGAGCTGTATTAAAAAAAAAAAAAAAGAAAAAACTAAATAGAATCAAATTACATGTTTTCATTTGTTTGCTTTAGTTGTTTTAAATTCTCAGCTCCTGTGGAGCTCTTTTTCTCACCCCTCTTCACAGAGGAGCATCCTTCACTTCTGGTCTGCATCTGGCCAGCATGTCACAGATCAAGGGCTCATGTGCCGGTGCGAGCAGCCTAATGGCAGTGGTTGCACATTTATCAATGCTCCTGGGACGCTGCTGTAACAGACTGTGTCTAGAATCACAAACAGCAGAAGAGACCATTTCTGGTAATTGCTGCTCCGCTTGAGATATGTTGAGAGTGGTGGAAAAAAAAAAACGTTGCCTAAAATAGCAGGTTTACACAACAGAGCACTGGAAGTGCAGACAAATTTTAGATGTTGCTGCACTCAGCTAAGGCCCTGAGACTCGGAGCAAAACCAGCTGTGTTGCTTCCAGATTTTAGCTTCCTACATACAAACAGTTCAAACATCTTTACATTTCACTTACAGTTCCTGGACTAGCTGACTAAGCCAGTTTATGGGCACTTAACCRCAGGCTACAGAAGCATCCCAGAGCATTGCTATATCCCAAGAAAGCAGCCCTGATGTTGTAACCCCTTGTACATTTATTGGTACCCTTACGGTTTCAGATCCTGGTCGATCAAGATGTCATATCCATAGAGCTCAAAGCAGTGTTTGTCACTGATCATCACTTTCTGCACGCTCTGAAGGCTCTTGATGAAAATGTTGTCCATATCCGCAAAGAGAATTTCCACCGCTTCTGCTCCGTGCTTGGCAGTCAGGTACTGCCTGAGCTGCTGAATCATCCACTTGCAGCCCTGAGACATCCAAACACAATTACACTAAACCATTCCCAGCAGATGACAATGCACTCCATCTGTTAAATTCACCTCCCTAGTCTCTACAGCCACACAAAATTCCTAGTTAAAAAAACAGGGGGTTCAAAAGGTAGGGCCACTAATCCCACAGCACAGTTAACATCTCTGAGCTTGGTTACTGTGTGGCACTGGAAGAAAACGTGAAGGTTCCCATCAGAAGTTACCTACCAGTAATCATGTCACCTGCTATCAATGTATTGCAGAGACACCCCTTTCCACAGAGAGGAGAGAGATTTATAGATGGGAGCAGCCTGTAAAATGGGAAGGTTGTCACAGTCCTCTGTGACCATCAAACGCTGGCTTTCGTCTCAGATTCACTAAGACTCTGACATCATTTTTTCCTCTCTTTCAACTGCTGCCTCTCGAGACAGGAGGCCTCACAGTGGCAGTTGCGTGTGGAAGCATTAAGCTTGTTGCAGCGCAGGGCGAAGCAATAAGGTACCTCCACTTCACATGAGCACTAACCAGCAAGCTATTACGCCTGAAGTCAGAAAGGTCACCCTTCTAGCCGAGCCGACAGCTGTAAAGCACCCATTAAAGCAGAACACTCGCCCACTCGCTCTCTCGTAAAGCTTCCATCAATGAAATCACACTGATGGGTATCTGGAGAGAAGACAGAGCGGCGGCCGCGCGGCCCAGCGGGGCAGCTGGCACCATGAGGTGAGGCTGCTGGCACTGCCAAGAGCCCCACGGGAGGCAGCCGGGAGCAGCCCCGCAGCGCTCGTGCACCCACCTTCTCTGGATCGTAGTCAGGCGCYGTCTTCTGCACCGCGACGTTTGTGAGATGAACATCTGGCCAGGAGCCGAGATAAGGACCAGAGACAGACACACCGTGAACGAGCACGTGTTCAATTATTGCTCTAAACCATCCTCTTCTGCCCCAACGCAGATTAATTATCCTCCCTGTCTTTAATGGCAGGCTTCAGCCACCCAGTCTTACATTCAATATCACATGAAGATGTCTTGATAAAAATTACAGGAAAAGGAAAAAAAGATATCTAGAAGATATCAAGAAAAGAAGAAAAGGTATCTAGAAAAAAAATAAAAAATAAAAGGACTTCGTGACTTAAAAAATAAAAGGAATTCGTCCTGAGCTACTTCTGTCTGTGCTCCTGTCCCAAAACGCTTGCTGTCCCACTCTGCAGTGGCTCCGAGTGAGGATGAGCTCTGCTGAACTGTCACTGAGAAAAGTGACGGGGTTTTCTGACTCTTCAGCTGCCAAATTAAAGTGTGATAGATTTTAGTTGATTAACATAGTCTCCTAAAAGGTATCAAACTCCATAGAGTAGCAGGTGTGACACATACAAACATCAAACAGTTCTATTCAATGAATCGTTTTGTTCTTAATTTCTGTGAAGCTAAGATAGAAGAAAGGCTGCAAAAACTCAGCCACTAACAACAAAACCAGACCTGACATTTCACCATTGGTCCTAGCTGATTCTTCATACTGACATTTCTAGTCATTTGCTGGCCAGTCTTCCTACAAAAAGAGATATGAGAGAATCACAGTGGCAGCAACAGGACAGGAGGATCACACAGAGTTTGGGAGAAATCAGTAGCGATAAGATAGATCCAACCCAAACATTAAAATAGTAAATCTCTTTTCTTACAGCATAAGCTCTATTTACAGCATAAGCAGACAGGTAGGATACAATGATCATCTATGGTATTCAGAGTAAATCGCGTCTTCGAGAAGCGAGCAAATCCACCTCTGTACAGCCAGGCCTTCAGAGGGATGTACTGCGAGCAGGAGAAGAGCAGCCAAGCATTAAGGCAAGAAAATAACAGTTCCGGCCTGATAATCACATAGTTGTGTTTTGCACTTACAGATGTCACTAGAACATAAACTCTTAAGTCAAACTTTCGACCTGTGAAACACAGAAATATAAAATACAATAGGTCATACTGCCAACTAATATTAGCAGTACCCAATATGAGGAATGTGTCTACAAATGCACACGCAAAAGTAAATGAACCCTAATGATACTTTTTCTCACTTTAGGAGAAATTGAGTGAATATTTGTCTAATCTTTAAAAAAAGAAAGTGAAGATTATATACTGAAGTTTCTGGAAAAAAAAAAAATAATGCAAGATATAAGTTAGTATTCCTCTGAATTATTTTGATGAATACCTGGGCATAAACACTAATGAATTAACGATTAATTTAAGAGAAGTAACATGGGATATTTATTTGTTTTTTAAAAACATGGAATGGTTGAGGTTGGAAGGGGCCTCTGGAGATCATCTAATCCAAGCCCCCTGCTCAAAGCAGGCTCAGCTAGAGCAGGCTGCTCAGGCCCAAGGCCAGCAGTGTATTGAGGAGGTCACTTCCATATTTTTTCCTCTCAGCAAACCACAAAGCCACCACGCTAGAGAGACTGACACTGCACATTATTCTCAGCCACATTTAGGCCCATAAGCAAACTGGAGAAAATAAGTCATGATCTTCCACACGGATCTATGAGGTCCTATTTTCCCACAGGAACATCATCTACTAGGACGTTGCTTTCCAGATATCAGAAAAGCATAGTCTTAGCTGAGCATCTTACCTCCTATTAAATATGGATTTTCAATATATCGCTGTGCTACATAAACCTCTACTTGTGTTTCATCTTTCTGATCATCTGTGCTGAGTCCATCCTGTGGAAAAAAACACACACAATTTCACTTTTTAGGGCTGTATAGGAAAAGAAAGGAGAAAAACCCAGTTTTTCCTGAAGCCCATTTTCCATACAAGATGCCAGATCCCAGAAGAAGTATCCAACCATTCAGGAAAAGCCACTGTAAGAATCTTTGTTGCTGCACTGGAGAATCGTGAAGAAATACTGCCCGAGACAGGCCCAGGTAGACAGAACAAGTCACTAGCAGAAGCAGAGGCTTAAATAATAGCAAAAGAGCAAAATTCCAGTGGGCCATTCCCCAGAAGGAGAGAGAGTAGTTCTCACCTTCCCCCATTCAATGATATCCTTGAGTTTCCGGAATAGAAAAATTCCTTTGCCTTGTGACCTGCCAACCTGCAACACAGCACAGTAAAGTTATTTACTTTAGTGTTTTCTTGCCTTCCGATAGGAGTGACACAGTTTACTTGCCTGCGAGTCCTTAGGTCAGCCACAAACAGTTGCAGTTGTTGCTACAATCTCAGTAATCACAGTCTTTTTGTTTACTCATTTACCCTATTCTGGTTATTCACAGTGTTAATTGAGGCTGTGGGCACAAAACCAGCTTAATGCATGTTTTTTTGTTGCCAATTAACGCATTCCYGTTTACAGAGTTGGGTAATCACTAGCTGCTCTCCTCCTGGCTGTAATTCACATGTTTGCCTGTGCAGTCACCTCCCAGGCGAACCCTTCCCGAGGAGCCTGGTGCAGAGCAAGGCTCCTTGTCCTGCCCCAGACTTCTTGCCAGAGCTCCTGTGTGGAGCAGAGCGACCGTCACAGGTCTCGCAGATGGGGGCATTTTTAATCACCCACTACAGCACAATATTGGTGACATTAAGCGCCCCAGATCAGCTGGCGGCAGCAAGGCATTTCACAGCTTCACACAGTAATATTGMAACTTCTAAAGGAAGCAAAATCCCTTGGTTGCCTGGATATTAGCCGAAGTGGAACTTACTGCATTCAGCCCATGGAGGCTTTGAGGGATAAATGAGATTTGGAACACGAGGCTACACTTGAGGCCTCTAACACCGAAGCACAGAGAAGATAATGCCACCCAAATCCCCTCCAACTTGCACTTCAGGCTGCCCATGGAGTCTCTTGTAAGCTCTTCACATTCTCGGGATGAAAGGCAGCTTAGTAGGTTGGCTGGACTTGCTCGGGCTGCCACATAACATAGAGGGATTTCTTTAAAACCAACAGATGTTTTCACAGCTCCATCTTTACGGACTGCCCAAGCATGGTGCTTAACTATTAAGCCCAATTAAGCAGCTGATCTGCATACACACATGCTTCTTTCACACATGCAGCTGAACTGAAAGGTTTTAGGGCGTGAGCTTGGCCTTCACCCCCTGGCACGAAGCCCTGGGAACACAGTCTGATTCTTCACACAAAACTTCAGCACTTTCCATCGTCACCATTGAGCTAACTTTGGCTCAACAAATAAACTGAGCTGCTTTTCCACTGCTGGAGTAAACTGTTGGGCAAGATGWAGTGTTTTTGTAGCACCAATAGACCAGGAAGCTGCCAGGAGCATCGCTCCTCCTATGTGCACCCTATGTGCAATCCTTCCTGTGGATTTCCTGAATATCTTGCTCTCTCTCCAAAGAYTGAAAGTGTCCACTCTGTCTCACTTTCCATGGGACAGCACCAAACTTACTGGTTTCATAATCCAAGTGGTGCCAGGATTCTTGTGAAACTCTTCCACAAACAAGTGGTACTCTAACGGCATTTCGAAAGTCTTTGGGAAAAAGTCACATTTGGTTGCCTCAAGCTTTCCCGCTTCTCTCTCCAGCTGCTTCCGAAACCGCTTCAGGTTCTTCACTAGGTAGTTCTTCCGAGTCAGCTGAGCAGAGAGAAACGTAAGATTAGGCTCACCAGACGCTCACATCTTCTCAACCATCATCCTCCTCTCGCTTTAATTGCCCTGGAGGTATTTCTGTTGACATCTAGGAATCAACTGCACCCCAGATTCCTCAGAGGAGAAAAAGGAAAACATGGGGCCACTGGAACAGGTCATGTTTTCCCATCTTTACGCAACTCTTCAGTCTGCATACTGATTTCCAGAACAGACCCCAAGTGTGGGGACCGGTCTGAGGGAGTAAGGGGCAGAGCTGCCCTGGAAGCCGCTCCCGCCATGGCTGAGCCGGAAAGGAAGCAGCTCCTGAACGGCTGCAGGCTACAGGAACCCCCGGTGGTCCCGGTTGCTGCTAAGGGCGCCGAGCAGAAAGCCTGGAACAGGCGCCCGTCCCGCTCAGCTGCGCCGGGAAGCGGCACCCGGGAGAGGGCCAGGCCAGGCCTCTGAAACAACAAGGTTTTCCGCAGTTACAGCTAAGGCAGCCCACAAACACAGGACAGACTCCCCCGGGGGCAGCCCTAGTTGAGGACAGGCTGCAAGGCAGCCACGCTCAAATGTACTTAAAGGACAGGGCATCTTCTCTTGGGCAAATGAGGTGCAACGGGTGCCCCCACCCTAATGCCTGGGATTTGTGGGTGCTACATTAGGAAACGCAGCATCACCCGTAGAAGGGAGCGCCTGTTTTAACTGGACCCCTAAGGCGGCTGCTGCGGAGGTTTGCAGCGGCGACCGGGTGCACCGAGGCGGCCGCAGCGCGGGGCTCAGCGCGGTGAGGAGCCCCGGGGCGCGCGAGGGTCCCGGGCAGCCCGGCCCGGCCCGGCGCCCACCTCGTAGTGGTTGCGGAAGTGGCAGAGGCGCACGTGCTCGGGCAGGCTCGCGTGGTCGAAGTGCTCGTGCAGCCAGCCCACGTCGCACCAGTGGAAGTCCCAGGGCTCCTCGCTGCGGGCACAGCGCGCCCGCCACCAGCCGCCCCCGCGGGCCGCGCGCCCCG